AGGTGTCAGTCTCTATGCTTCTTCACGCTGGTTTAATGAGAGTTACTTCAAATAGCTCCATAAACCTCACGGTTGCATTTTATTTGATTATCTTATCTTCGGCAGACCCTCCTGTCTGCTCCAAGGGGGCCCAGGCAGCCTGGAGCTCTGAGTTGATTTCCGGCTGGCTCGGGACCCCTGGGAAAGTTGCCTGAGACACAGATATTTGAAGTGATGGGAGCCTTGAACTTAGTTAAGTAGCTTGGGACCCAGATTGATATCAAAACTGAGATTTTTATTGTGCATATTATCTTGACTTCTACAATTTCCTCATACTCAGAAATACTTGACAAAGCTGAACTATATCACTCTGAGTTTTACTTAAAACTCAAGAACTTTTATCATTTCCTGTGTCTCTATGACCCTGATTAACACCACTGAATTATAAAAGACAGGAGACGATGGTGAGGGTTAAGAAAATTAATTGTGGAGTAAGAGCTTGACTTCCTCGTTTTTCCATGGTAGAGTTAAACTGCTGATATTAATTATACTCAAGCTTCCAATCGCGTTGTGGATTTTAAACTGCTGTTTAGTTCTGTGTCTTCCCACCTTTGTGTTTATGAATGAGGCAAGAGTTTGTATGAAGAGTCCAATTAAATTTGTTGGCACACTATCCATTAATTGTGGCACTATAAAAAATAATTATCTTCCTTTCTGGATCAAGCGAAAAAGTTCCACATTTATAGAATCGTACACCTTGGAGAAAATGCTGCTATTAAGACATTTCTTTATAACTTTGTGGAAATGGATGTTTTTAAATTCAGAAGTTGGGTAGCTTATAATTGCCTATGATCCCTAGGCTGATGTTCCACTGTGATTTTTCTTTGCTTCTCATGCTAATAAAACACTAACATGTGAGCTATTTTGTTTTCTCTCTCAGAAACAAATTGTTCCACTATAAGACTTTTCTTCTTCATTTGATAACGTGTCATTAACTTGATAGAACTAGTCTATAATTATGTCATATTCTTTCTCCTTTTCACCTCCAATCTCGCTTTCTGGTTACTTATTCTAGCAATACAAGACCAAGTCAAGCTACAAGGCTTTTGCAGCAATCCCTACAAACATATTTCTTTTGGAACAGAAGGTCAGTGTTGGCACATAGCATAGTCATTCTATTTTCCTTGTGACATTTTTGTCTGTGTCTAAAGTTTCTGTGAGAAGATTGCTGTTTTAGAGTTCTGCATTTACTAAAATAAAATTTGGGTCTTTATCTAGAGGGATGTGCTGAAAGCATCTTGGTCCATAGAATCAGTATGTCTTTGCTTGATCACCAGAGACTGAATATGAACAAGAAAGGTCCAGACCACTGCTCAGTAGTGCTGGGAAGCTTGGTTCATAGGTAGACCTTTGTTTGAGGAATTCAAAATGGTGATTGAAGAGCCTTGATGGTGCAGTTGTTAAGTACTTGGCTGCTAACCGGAAGGTCAGCAGTTCAAAGCCACCATCCACTCTACAGAAGAAGCACGTGGCAGTCTGCTTTCGTAAAGATTACAATATTGGAAACCCTAAAATGTTGTTTTGAGTCAGCATCTACTCAATGGTGGTTTTTTGGTTTGTTTCGTAAACGGTTATTTTATTTAACAACATCCACCTCTATCTAAAATGGCAAAGAAGTAGAGGTGGAATGAGATTTGACTGAACAGTTGACTAAGTTGATCCTTGACTGGCCAATATTTGATGATTGGTAATGGCTTCCGTCAGGCAGAAACACATTAATTGAATATTCAGCTAAACCCTTAGATTCTATCAGTGGCTCAAACTCTGTATCTGTCCTCGCTAGGCACTGATTCAACCACTTTGAGTGGAAGAGAGAATCGAGATCATTCTCAATGACCCAGCTGCTTTCACATGATTCCAGAACATTTTGGGTTTTTTGCTTTGCTATTTAGTGTCATTAATTATAAAATTAAAGCATATTACTCAATTAGGTAAATTAAATTCAAGCCTCTTGTTTAATAAGCACATTACATATGCTCAACTGCAGTCCAAATAGAGGATCATATCAGAATTGGAATGAAACCATTTACTAAGTCTGTGAAAATATTTGTTTATTTATATCTATATAAGTTTGTAATTTTATGATGATTTATTTAGGCCATCTCTTATACTGCATGAATCCATTTTTCCTACATAATTATAATGATTGAAATACTAGTATTATCCTTCGTTAAAATAATAGTTGTCAACTAGGTTTTATTTTGATCACTGGTTTATGAAATCTGCATTGTTGTCCTTTTAGCATGGTTTGAGGGAATACAATCTCTATATGCTCTCTGTCTCCAAAGGAGAAATTAACAGTGAGAAACGTTCAATGACTATATCTCGTATAGCCTGTAATTCCCATCACTAACTCCAAACTCTATGCTCTCTTCCGTCTGAATGCTTTGGAGATCACTGGACTGAAGGGAAACCTGCAGGGCCTTTTTTTCTCTAGCTTCTCTCCTGAAGTTTAACCTTTTCTGATTCTTCCAAAGTTCAGAGGGGCCTAAAACACTGACTTCAGGAGGGCCCCGGAGGCCAGGAGAAGTGGCCTTTCTCAAGTGCCCCTTGTGCTATTGTGTAAGATCACCATGTTGAGTCATGAGAGGACGCACGCCCATTCCAGGCAGACAGTGCTAAAATGTGGTCACCAGTATCTATCGCCACCAGCATGAGAGCTTCTTCCCTGAGTAGCCAGTCAAAGGGGAGATCAGGGCCTGGCTGCGTCATGATGTCTTCCCATCATGTTCATCTCATCAACTTATGTGCATTCTCTGCTTTAAAAATGATTATTGCTGTCAAACTATATGAAATACAACATTATCAATTTAACATGTTTCAGGTATATGATTAAGTACTCTCAATTACATTAATCAGGTTGTGGCACTACCACTTAAAATTGTTGCCAAATTTCCTCTAGACATAAAAACTCCCTGCTCCCTGCTTCCTCTGCGTGTCTTATTCTTGAACGATGGGTTATTAGCTTAATTTTCTATTTGAAAAGCAATAGTTCATAGTCGTGAAGTTCTGTGGTGGTCAGTATTGGTTCCAGAATTTGTTGGAGAGCTCACTCCTCTAATTCACTGGTTTATGTAGATTTTATTCTATAAGTTTATTCATAAAACTGAAGAATCATTTGCTTAATTTTCACTTTTATAATAAAAGCACTTCATAAATGTATATGAGGTATCAATGCATGTTTAGTCTAACGCAAGTCCACAAGAGAGACCTTTTAATTTTAAATTTTGACTGAAGCATACTTTGCTGGAAATTATTACTTTTTATATAGGGTACAAAAATATAAATATAATCGTATCTAGTTTTAATGTAATTCTTGGCAGGGGTGATTATTTTATAAACACTAGTATGATCAATTGTTTCTTGGCCAAGATAAATTGTTTCTGATTTGAATTTGTCAACTGTTTTAAGCTATCACATATTTGATTGTTTCTTCTTTAGCTCCTTCATCTAATTGTGTGCATTTTTTGCTTGCTATCCCGTGTTGTATATTGCTCAGTGTGAGACTACTTTGTAATAATTTTTAAATAACAAAATTATTTCCCCCAAATTTTATGCATGTATTTCCATTTCCAATAATATTTCTTTAGTGATATTATACGGCTCCTTTTGGTGTTGTTGCTTTTTAAAAATAAACCTAGCAATTTAGTCATTTTGCCCATCTGTTTATATAATAGAATTCATTTCATAAAATTTTAATCAAAGGGGCTTATTTCTGAATTGAGATGAAATTATGAGTACGATCTTCAGAAATTCATCTATTTGTGAAGGATCAACATTTTGGAATGTCTCAATCACAGAAGCTTTTCTGAGCGCCTCTGAGTATCACACAGAGCACCACAGTTAAGGGCTAGGATGGTGTCTCAATCTCAATCTTTCTTTTAGAGTCTGTTCTGTTAGAATGTCTTAAGAGTTTTAAAAAGATACAGAGTACGATATTCCAGCAATTAGTTCTCTTAACCAACCAGATTAAATTCAAAGCAGATGCCTTATACATTCTTTTCTCTACTCTACCATAGAAGTACCAAGCAACCTGAATTACTTGTAAGCAGTAACAGTGTTTTTGAAAGCAAGAATTTCTCCCAGATTGAAGGTGGACATCCCTTGCAATGGGTCTGATTTCAGTTTTCCACTCTCTAAACATTAATCCATCATTAAATCACTGAATTTCTGTCAGTTTTAATCTCTCTAATTGAAGCCTATCATTTTTAAAAGGGTACATTTTGTTGGTAGGGAACATGAGGTTTCTGATACTTCTGTTCTATAATTTTTTATCTGCATCAAAACTTAAAGATACAGTGTTTGACATATTCTATCATTTCTCTCCCTATGAACATTTAGTAGGTATCCATTTTTAGTATTAGGTTTAAGTAGGGCTCAACAGGAAGGCATAAATGTAAGCACCATACTTTAGTGTGTTGTCTTCAGATTAACATATTGCTGATAATCATCTTCTCTGGATTGACATGAGGATGAAATGCAAGTGATTATAAAACAAACATAAAGGAAATGACCAGATCAGTTTGTATCTTTGACTCCTCATAGTTTTTGTTCTAATGTGTACAACAAGATTGAGTTCTCTGCACAGAAATAACGGGGATATGGACATTGGCAAAAATTTAGCAAAAATGTCTTTATATGAGTATTACAGTCCTTTACAGAGAATTTTCAAGATCTCTATCCTTAATTGATTTTTTCAAACCTTCTGATGTCCGATAGAAACAGATAAAATATAAAAAATACAATGGGCACATTGCTGTGTAAAGATAATTGATTATTATTAGCATGCGATTATATTCTGGTAAGAAAAGATGATGGAAGGAATATTTATAAGAAATCAAATAATATTATTCATTGGTCTCAAAGTGATTAATTTATTTCTCCCCCAAAGTCTGATATTTTTCTTTGAAAGTAATTTTAAATTCTCCTTTCCCTTCCTCACAAGTGTACTTTATAATAAGACCAGAATAAAGATAGACATTATTTACTAATGGCTTTGCTCTTTGCTCTTTACAAGATACCATAATTTCAATTCATAAATATGTATGTGTTTTAAAGAACAATACTAGGGATGTTCAACTCTACATACAGTCAAGAAAATTATAGGATTGATTATCAAAGTGGAAAGCTATTTGGTAAAGATATGTGTTTGGGGCTAGGAAGTTGGAGGAAGGAAGATAAAGAATTTTGCATTTTGAATACAATAGTAAACATTGAGGTATAAAAATAGAAAAGCAAAAATATAACACATACTATCAGCTGTCAAATCAATTTATTCTGAAGTTGTTAGCTTAATTTTTGAAAGCATAAATTGGTAAAACCCAATCTGTTTACGCATACCTCCTTGGGCAAGCGTATTTTGAAATCTCTTCATGTTTCAAAGGCTCCCTGGTAGGGAGTTGTGCCCTGGGCTGCTACACAGAGGTCAGCAGCTGGAACTCACCTGCCACTTTGAGGGAGAAAGCTAAGGCTTTCTGCTCCCATCCAGTGTTGGAAACGCAGTCTTGGAAACCTATGGGGCAGTTCTACTTTGTCTTTTAGTGTCGCTATGCGTCAGACCTGACTTGATGGCAGTGAGTTTGGTTTTTGTTATAAGTCGTGTCTCAAAAATTCAGCAAAAACGTGGTTGCTAATTTTGCTTGAGGCAGGCAGAAAGACAGAGGGGCAGAGAGAGGGAGGGAGGCTCCCCAGAGTCCCGGCTTATAAGAAGACCATATCATAAGGCTATGACGTTAATTGACAGGTGGATTCTAACCCCACACTTTCATAAACATTTGAGTTGACATAAAATCATCTATCATAGATCTTTTCGAGTTAAAACCAAATTCACTTCCATCGAGTCAATTCTGAATCTTAATAACCTTCATAGGGCAGAGTAGAGCTGTTTCTTATAGGTTCCGAGACAACAAATCTTTATGGTTGTTGGTTTCAAGCGGCTGTGGTTAGTAGTGGTTAGTAGCCCAAGTCAGAACCTATTTTGCTAATAGGGCTCCCCCTTTTCAGATTAGCATAAATAATTTTGGGGAAGTGGACTTGACTATTGCAAAAATGCAGTGACTTGTTCATGCAATTTTTGAAATTCCGTTATGTGTGCAAGGAATCAGAGCTTTAGCAGCACAATGGCTAAGCACAGGACTGACCGATCTGACCCCACCCAGCAACTCGAGACTAGATAAAAACGTGATGATTTGATTCCAGAAGGCTTACAGCCTAGAGCGTCCTGTGGGGTAGCTCTATTGTGTCCTAATCCTATGCAAGGAATTGACATCACTCATGGCTAACGACCTACGGGACAACAAGAACACCAACAACATGCAACAGGGCAGTGCAAGCTTTACAATCCATTTTAGGTTATTCGTATTTTGGAAGCACTTTCCTGTCATACTACATTTATAATGCAAACATTTTGTTCTCTATTGAGATTGTTAGAACTGACTCTTGGGAGTCAACATATCTGATGGGAAAATAGTTGTGATTACATCATAGATACATCTTTTGCATGAGAGATCATCTGTTGCAGTTCATTGGCATACTTTTCCATAAGGACTTTAATTTGCAATGCTAGTCCTTATCACTTTGCTCTTATTATGAGGCAATGATGAAGTCAGAAACTAATTTCTGCTAAAAGGCTCTTTTTAAAATAAGGTTCCCACAGTTGGATACTTTGATAAAAATATAAACATTTCGAATGATAGAATATTTTTCACAATTTTTATTAGTTAAGAACCATTAAGATGAGATTCATAGCATGTCTTTTTTATGCCTCAATTGGCTGTATTCCAGTTTGGAAGAAAAATATATTTTTTAATAGATGTATTTTGTTGTTAGAGAACATTCTGAAAAAACTACACTCAATATGAATAAATCTAAAGAAGTTCAATACAATCCTAGCAGCTAGGTTGTCAAAAAGCAATGTGCAGTCAGACTAATGACTAATGAAATTTAAAATATTGTCTTTTACTGTAGTTTTGAACAGTGGGGCGAGGAAGCTACTTTTTATGGTCACTGCAAAGAGTTGATCAAGAAGATACATTGGTCACATACCTCCTAGTCAATAATAATAATAATAATAATAAAAATCCTGGTAAATTTCAAGGTTATTTAAATTTTAAAAAATCCTCCAGGAAATTTTAATACAATCTGAATATTTGCTCAGTTTCAAAGCCTTAGCTTTATTGATCTAACATCAGTTAATTTCCCTGTTTTTTTAAAGGGGTCTGAGAAAATATAACATATATGAGTGGAATTCTACATTTTAACTATCCTTGTGGAAGTTGTGTTTAACCTGCAGTAAGTTCCCACCAAACCCATGGTCATCAAAACGATTCTGATTCATAGTGACGCTCTGTAGGGTTTCCACGGCTATAATTATTTATGGGAGCAGATAACGACGTCTTTCTCCTAGAATTCCCACAGAAGAACCCACATTTCAACCTTATGTGGCTTTGACCAGATGACATCCGCTGTTGTTCTCCCATTGAGCACACTCTCAGATCGGTGACAGTAAATCTATCCCACTGTAATTTTAAAAAAGAAATTGTTAAAATAGTCAAAGAGTGGAAGCCACTTCTCTAAACTATTTTACCAGGGGAGATTAATATCATACTGTTTCCATGGTTCTTTTACTCATTTGACCCCATATAGTCCATTCAATTTATTCCTGGGAGGCTGGGTGATGTAGTGAGTAATGATTAGGACTGCAGACCACAAGGTCGGTAGTTCCAGCCTACCAGCTGTTCCACAGGGGAACAATGAGGCTCTCTGTACCCAGAAAGCTTGACAACCGGAGAAGCGCAAAGGAGCAATTCTTTGAGTTAGAACGGACTCCGTGGCAGGGCGTTTGGTCTGGGGGCTATTCTTCAATTCAGGAGCACCATAGCTTAAGTGTTGGACCGCTAATCTAAGGGGGGCTCCCCTTCGCCCCACATGAGGAGACAGTCTACTCCCCGAGAGATTTACAGAAACCGTATGGAGGGTCATCTAGGGTGATGTTGTGTTGGATTCAAATAAATAACAATGGATTTTGAGTTTACTAATTAAATTTCACTCTTCAGTGTACCTCAGCGATCTTTACTGAAACACCTCTTGAGGGTTAGATCCTGGGGATACAAAGATACAATTTGTGTTTGCCTGACCACAATGGATCAGGGACAACAGAGAAGCCGATGATAAAAGTACAGATGAAATAATATGCTGACCTTCCGTGCAAGATGCTGTGATACTCCGAGGAGGGAGGGACAGACTACCTTGTGATAAGTCTAAGGATTCTATTTAATAATATTGTTTTAAAAATAACTGGACAAAAACACATTCTGGGGGGTGAAAATTTACATGGCAAATGACATGCTAACTTGACATTTTCGGCAGAAGGTGCTCAGTGAGAAGAGTTACAGTTTTTAGATAAGTCAACCTTATCCACTGCATTCGCTGCTTCCTTCTTCTCATCTTTGCATTAGAGTCACTGTTGACCTTTGGCCTCATGTCGACAGATTTTTTTCGCTGAAGCCCATCTTCTTGAGGAATATATTTCCTTTAGTTTGTGGGCCAATTTATTTCACTAAAAGGCATCCTCAGGAAACAGTTTTGGTGTAAGGTTTAAGAAAAAAAGAAAGGCTGAAGGGTAAATGTGGGTGACCACCTCAGGCAGACCTTCAGCCTCAACGGGTCCAGTGAGTCTGGATTTTTAAAGAATTTACATTCTTCTCTGTGTTTTTCTCCCAGATACCTGAGTCCCTGTGTTGTGGCTCTGATCAGAACCCTTGTAAGGGGTAGCTAGGCACCAGGTAGCTTAGACCCATCGTGACCCTGTGCTCAACATGGTGAAGATTGCTCCATCCTGGGTCATCTTCACCACGCACGGTTCCTGAGCTGCAGCCCAGCATTGCTGCCACAGTGTCACTCCTAGACGAGGGCCTTCCTCTGTCTGGCTGCCCCTCTATTTTACCAGGCAGATTCAGATAGACACGACAGGCCCACACACCAAGCTCAAAACCACTGTCTTTTTAGGTAGGGTCAATATTTGTGCTCTTAAAACCAAGAGCCCTCCAGAGGTAATGTTTCAATCATGTGTGTCGGAGCCAGGGTTTGCCTCCTGACCTAAGGGAGTTGGGAATTGTCAACATGATTCTCTCTTTCCAAAAGTTATTTTGAGGGATTGAATCTATGTCAATTTGGGAGCCATGGAAAATTCTTAATCTGTCAGGGGGAAAAATAGATTTTCCCAGATCACAAAGGATAAAGTGCATGAAGAGGCATCACCCAGAGGGGAGAGATACTTGATGGCTTTCCAGAATCCAGTCCTCCAGCCTTCCCGGGATCATCTGGGTTTCCTGCCCTGAGGTTCTCAAAGACTTTCCTTTGATTTTCCACGAGATTTCTCTTTCTGTATAACACGAGTTTACTTCTAGAACTTACTATCAAGACAGCTTTAACTAATGCAACAATCACACAATCACCATACACTTGTACTGACTGTCAATTTGACAAAAAAAAAAAAGAAGAAGAACAAAAAGAGGGGTGGGGGAGAGAAAAAAATCTAGTTTGCAGCGATTTTAAAATGATGATTCACAAACACCAAAATCTTATTACACCAGGAAGGTCACAAAAGGATTGATAAGTCATAAAAGGATTGATAAGTTTTTTCTGAGCTTTGAAGAGGACAGTGTGCATCTGAATTTATAAGATGCCCACGTTGCAGATTTTGAATCGAAAAGTTCAGTCACATTGTCTGGATTTTATACCTTATATTATCGATATTAATTGCCTAGGAGGTACTAGTCAAATATGGAAACACCTCTTTAATGAATTAAACAACTCGTTAAATGACAGATTTTCCCCCTCTTTCGCTGAGAAATATTGAGCTCTACAGAGTGTGGAGTATAAGTATCTTCTTCTTGCCCCTTAACCAGTGTACTTTCTTTGGTGAGACTGCACATTTAACCAGCAACCTCATATGAGCACCATCTCATTCATTCCTAGGCCCTAGATGAGCCCGCCAAGAATGAAAGTGTCTCCCAGGACAACTCAGGAGACGCACCTTGGGAGGTAATGGCTTCGCCTCACTGCTGCTCTGGGTGTGCCATCCTGAACGCCACTGCTAACCCACTCCCTGGTTTCCATTTTTCCAGTTCTGTTTCCCTGCACAGCTCAGGCAGCAAACTGAAGAGCTCTGTGCTACCATTGATAAGGTCTTACAGGATTCCTTGTCTATGGTAATGCCTTAGACTAGAATGTGCAATTCAAAAATTTGCTTTGCTTCTCTTCAGTTCTCTCTCTTTGAATCGATGCCTCACGGCTTGTCCTTTTTTTCTCTTTCCAGTATTCTTCTGAGTCTCCGTCAAGGTCCCCACAGACGTTGGGTTCTGACACAATCAAAGTATGTGCATATATAATTTAGTTGATTGAATTATAAGACTTACTGGACCACTGATTTTTACATTGTAGGTCAAGTTTCATAGTGAGCCAAGCTATTCATTAGTGGCTAAGAACCATCATTTTATAAGGAGGATAGTAAGACTGCAAAATATTGATTTGTCAAAAGGGTAGGTACTGCTGGATGCTCCTGTTTCTGTTTGTTTATGTGTACACTGTAGGTATATGTGCAGAGGTTTGCAAATAAAAATCTGTTTCTTACAGTGAGTCAAGTTTAAAGGAATTTAAAAGCCACTGTTGTATTATATTAAGTATCTGTAAGCATTATAAAGAGCATCCACCAATGTGATGTAGACTATCTGCCTTATTCCACTGGCAAACCATTGCTCTTCTCAACCAATTACTTATGTGATACACGGAGCCACTTAGATGTACAGAAGTGCGATGTGAAGTGGACTAAAGTAGTCATACGTCTAAGTGCTGTTATTTCTGATTTTTTTTTTCTTCATTGAATTATTTTTTTTGATGACTCTGATGGACAGAAAAACCTGAATACTTTAGATTTTTGGAGAATTATTGATGAATTAATTCTTTCTATTGAATATCTAAGTGTCTCTTTCATATTCATATTCATTTTCATTTGTGGGGATAAAATATTATATTATCTTAAAATCATTTTTTTCAAATGCTTACTTTACAAATCCACTCATCCAAGGTTCAAAATATGTGTGGTTTCCCACTCTGAATAGTAACTAGTTTCATCACAGCCTTCTTTTGTCTCGTGGGATTAGTCAAGGCACTTTTTGCATGCACTTTTTCCTTGCAACTTGTTTTAATATAAATCTGCAGGCACACACACTTTAAAAATAATTTTCTAAATTTTGTACTTAAGCCCTTTGTGGTTTATTTCATTAAAGTTCTTTGCTTTCACATATCCATGCTTTTCTTCTAGATATGTGGTTCTTCTTGTTGGCACCTTGTTGAAACCCATATTCAGCAATGTCTTCAGAGTAGATTTTGTGTCCCTCTGTCCCCGAGAATACCTTTATTTTGCCCTTTCACTTAAATTATAGTGTGGTTGGATATTAAATGATAGGTCCTTTCATTCAACATTTTCTCCACTAGATCATTTCACTTCAATGAAATCTTTGTGAAGTATTTTGTGCTATTTATTCCTGTTATCGTTACCATTTACAGATGTCTCTGTAAGCCTTTAGAATTTTGTCTTTATTTATGATGTTACTTATTTTCCTGGATCATGCCTAAGTGTGCATTTGCCCCCTCTTAAATACCATGATATGTACTTTCTCTGGCCTTTCATTGGAAGTCTGGAGTCACCCCCAACCCCACCCCTGGCCCCTTTACACTGAGCATAACTTTCAGTCATTATTTCTCCAAATGTTTCTTTGTTTGGGGGACTCCAATAATACTGGGGGCTTGGGGGTCACTTTTGTATTATAAATTGCTTCGTTTTAAAATTTTAATGTAATTTACCACTTCTTCATTCCTTGAGGACAATTCCTGGATTGACAGTTACTGTTCAAGAATATAATATTTATTCTGTCCTTTAATTCTTATATGAGATTCTTTTTTGCAGTGTGTGCAACTTGCTTTTGTAAGTCAGATTAGCTAATGCAAAATTCACTCCTTTTAATGTAAGATTTGATGAATTATACAATTGTGTAAGCCACCACTGCATTCAAGTATAAACTATTTCCATTAATGTTGTAAAAGTTCCTTTTTACTCCTTTTTCAGTATTTTCCTTTCTTCAAGCCCAGTGAGGAGATCCACTGATCTGCTCCATGTCCCTGTCATTGTCTTATCAAGAATTTCATATAAGCAGAATAACATTGTATGTAGTCTTTTGAATTTAACTTTTCGCACATAATAAAGAGCACATGAGTTTCATCTCTATTGTTGCAAACAGCCATAGTTCACATTTTTAAATTGATGAGTAGTATGGATATAGTAGAATTTATTTGCTTATTCTCTGGTTTATGGACACTAATATTGCTTCTGATTTGGAGTGTTTACTAATACTGCTGTTAAGAATATTTTAAAATTAGACTTTGTATGGACATATGCTGTCATTTAGGGGTGGCATGGTTGGTCCATACATGGCTGTGCATTTTCTTGTGGTTGTTAGATAAATTCCCGTTTCTGTTTTCTTTCTTTGTATTTTAAAAGACATTTTATCAATTAAGATGCTTTGGGCCACAAATAATAGGTGGGATGGCTCTACGTTTAGTTGATGCAATGACTAAGTGACACTACAAGGATATCCATATATTTTAATTTTATAAATCATTTTATTGGGGGCTCTCACAGCTCTTTTAACAATCCAGACATCAATTGTATCAAGCACATTTGTACATACTTTGCCATCATCATTTCTAAAACATATTTTTTCTACTTGAGCCCTTGGTATCCTCTTTTATCCCCTCTGCCACCTACCCTCCCACCCTCTGCCACCTACCCTCCCACCCTCGTGAATACTTAATAATTTATCAATGATTTTCCCCCATATTTTACACTGTCTGCTGTCTCCCTTCACCCACGTTTTCTGTGCTACAAGGATCTTGATGTGCTCCCTGTCTCTGCTCTGAGGTCCTCCATTCTGGCTTCACTCCAAAGCCGATGTTCACTATTGAAAAGCCACTTCTAGCACCACATCCTTATCTATCGATCTAGCTATTTATTTATTTTTTAAAGCATTTTATTAGGGCTCATACAGCTCTTATCACAATCCATACATACATCAATTGTGTAAAGCACATTTGTACATTCATTGCCCTCATCCTTCTCAAAACATTTGCTATCCACCAAAGCTGCTGGCATCAGCTGCTCATTTTTCCCCCTTCCTCCCCGCTCCCTCCTCCCTCATGAAACCTTGATAATTTATAAATTTTTATTTTGTCATATCTTGCCCTGTCCGACATCTCCCTTCACCCACCCCTCTGTTGTCCATTCCCCAGGGAGGAGGTCACATGTAGATCCTTGTAACCAGTTCCCCCTTTCTATCCCACTCTCCCTCCACCCTCCCGGTATCGCTACTCACACCACTGTTCCTGAAGGGATCATCCACCCTGGATTCCCTGTATTTCCAGTTCCTATCTGTACCAGTGTACATCCTCTGGTCTAACCAGATTTGTAAGGTAGAATTGGGATCATGATAGTGGGGGAGGAGGAAGCATTTAGGAACTAGAGGAAAGTTGTTTCATGGTTGCTACATCGCACCCTGACTGGCTCGTCTCCTCCCCAAGACCCTTCTGTAAGGGGATGTCCAGTGGCCTACAAATGGGCTTTGGGGCTCCACTCTGCACTCCCCCCGCTCATTCACTATGATATGATGTTTTGTTCTGATAATGCCTGATACCTGATCCCTTTGACACCTCATGGTTGCACATCTAGCACCACATCCAAATGTGCTGCTCCACAGGCAGGAAGAGCTTTTTGTGGATCTAGCGTCTCCTTAGAAGTGAGAAAAAAATATTCAGACTAGCTTCCTTTTTGCTAGACCCTTTATGTACTGTCATGCTTTTAAAAAACAGTTTGATTGACATATAATTCACATATCTACTATTCAATCGTTCAGCCATTTGATAAAGGGTCATGCAACAATCACCACAATCATTTTCTTCTTTCTTGTAATTGTTATTAGTTCCTCATTTACCCCTGCCAACCCCTCCCTTTTTACACTTAAAAACCTTTTAATCCAGCTACTGTCTTTAAAGATCTATCTATCCTCGATGTAATGTGCATAAAAACATATAAAACAAAAAGAAAAGGAAGCAAAAACAATAACAAAATAAAATGCAAAAGACCTGATTCAAAAAGAAAGCTAAACATATTAAAACTAGAACAAATTTAAAATGGGTCAAAAGGGAGATCAAATCATAAGGTTTAAAATTTCAACCTAACTACATCTCAGTAACCACTTTCCAATGCATTGTCTCTCATACAAAGGCTGTTCATTTCCCTGGTCTGGCCAGAGAAGATGCACCTGAGCTTTCGTTCACATGGGGACCTTGCAAATGGAGTTTGGCTTTCACTGTCATCCGTAGCCTTCTGCAAGCCAAATGCTCAGAATTCAAGCTCTAATACCATTCCCTCCTCAAGTCTTAGATTTTATCATTTACAGTTCTTGGATCACACAGGCTTGTGTGCTGCTTCTGTGTGGATTTAACTTACAGCTCATTTAGATGGCTGCTTGTTATAAGATG